ATTTTACATTTTTAGAGCAATCATAGCTTCTTCAATTCCCCAGAGGTTAGAGGAGATTGTGGTTTAAAGTATGATAGTTCCCATTCATAAAGCTCAGGAAGTAAAGGTATGAGTAATAGGCAAAAGATTGTTGTACTGCTAGTCTGATTAAGTGAGGCATGATGAAACACCCTTTCATGCAAACTGTGTAAAATGTGGCGGAACAGATAAGTAAGTTCAAATGTCTCTAAGTGAATCAGTAAGACAAACAAAACATTCATAAGAGCATTGATTGCTTCTCCTGCTCTTGGCTGTGAGGCAATTGGCCCACTGAATTGTGCAATCCTGCTCTAACTGCTAACATTAGCATTGTGGCCAGCTAGGTTATTGTCATTTATGTCAATAGACAAACCCACTGGTGAGCTCAGCATAGAGATGAATGGGCCCAGTCCTAGGCAGCCATCAGCATAGCTTATTATGAAATACTGCCTGTGGAAATATAGCACATATGTTACCACTTTGAGGCCATCTTAACCCTGCCTCAAACTGTAACTCTAATTTAGAGTAAATATTTATTGGAAGGTAAATGGACTGATTCTTATATAGCGCTTTTCTACTCTCCCACTCAAAGCAACAACAACATGCCTCATTCACCCATTCACTTCTAAACTTAAGTGCAACTAATAAACATTCACACTCCGATGAACACATCGGAGGGCAATTTGGGGTTAGTATCTTGCTCAAGGATATTTGGCATGCAGACTGGGGGAATTGAACCACCAACCTCCTGATCAGTAGCTGATCTGCTCTACGACCTGAGCCACAGCCACCAGTAATGGAAAACAGTTTTGGTGTGTCTCATTTAGAATGATCAATTTCTTTGTCACCTGATTGCCAAGACTGTGAAACACAGTCTTAAAAAACAAATAAATATTCAGATATCATGGGTTATGATTAGCATCTGCATCAGCGATGACTTGGACCTCACAGGGATTCACTTTTGTGTTTGCTTTTTAAAAATGCTATATCTGTATACTAGTTCAAGATTGCAACTTATTTAGCCTATAGTGTCTACCATGAAGCATCCTGAGGCTTTTAGATTATTATGAATGTTAACCTCTTAACTTAGGGTTAGATTTGGGGTTAGGTTGGATTTTAGTCACATGTTGAACATGGATAGTTTCTGCAACTATCGAATCAAGTCTCTTACTTGCAACACCATGAATATGTTCCAGCAATGGTACCCCTGAAGGTGTTTGGTTTTTTTAGATTGAAACGCCATATGTGTCTTACCCCACATTAATACAGCACACATGCATGTGATGCCGTCAATAGAGGGGAACTTGTGCGCTGACAGAAGTTCCAGATGGAGACCTTGAGCCATGCGGGAACAAAGCCATGAATAGACTTCTCCTAGTAACTGGCTGAATCATAGTGCAAACTAAATAAAATACGCTTTTAGGCCATGTACACCAGGGGCTCTGACCAAAGTCCATCTGGAAGTAAGTCTTGCCACCAAGTAACAATTTGGGCAGTCATTTTGAAGTATAATCTAAAGTCACATAAGAACTGCATGTATGGAATTACCTGTCAAATCTAATGAGAACAGTTGCTCATTTAGAGGGTCGCCACAGTGGATCATCTCCCTCCATCACACTCTGTCCCTCTGATACACTCATTTCTAATCACTTCCAGTGAAAACCTGTTCAACATGTTCAACTTTTCCACCTCCAGCTTCACCTCCTGTCTTTTTGTCAGTGTAACCATATGCAAACCATACACCATGGCATGTCTCAGTGCCATCTACCTTTCTTTCCATTCCTGCTGCTATCCTTCTGTCACAAATCATCCTTGATACTCGTCTCCCCCCACTCCACCCTGCTTGCACTCTCCTTCACCTCTCTTGTGCACTGTCTGTTGCTTTGGACGGTTGACCCCGGGTATTAAAACTCATCTACCTTCACTATCTTTACTCCACCTGTCTTTCTCTCATTCACACATGTATTCTGTCTTGCTTCTGTTGAATTTCATTAATCTTCGCTCCAGTGCATACCTCCACCTGTTCAGATTCTCTTTCACCTGCTCCCTACTCTCCCTACAGATCACAATGTCAGCAGCATCGTAGTCCACAGAGACTCATGTCTGATCCCATCTGTCAATCTGTCCATCACTACTGTGAACAAGAAGGGGCTCAGAGTCAGTTCCTGATGTAACTTTGATTTCCCCTTAGTGAGTGTCATGTCTCCCTTTATTAGGTAATGTCACTGGTCAACCTTCTGCTGCTGCCATTCACATCTGACCCAGTCTGGGTACTCTACAATCACACTAGAGTGGATATTGTTAGTGCTCTCGTGAAGCTCATGGCCCTCTGAATCTGGCCACCTTTCCAATGTTGTTCTTATACCCACACTATGGCCATGGCCATTTACCTCTATATGAACACCTTTACCTCCCTTCCATTGTGGCGAAAATAAAGAGCAGTGCTTTCCCATCTTTCCTAACCACCACTTTGGTGCCCCCAAGTTAGACCCTTAACTCTGAGCTGCTCCAGTGGAGCTGCTCAGAGCCAATAGATCTATTGTACTGGACAGCATGTAACTGTGCAAGCATCGATGGGGCATAACTGAAAGGGAAGACTTGCTTTCCTCTGAACTTCCATTGCAGAATAAATTTGTGAACTAAACATCCACACAAGCTGCTAGAGATTAGAAACAAATTAAAATGCAACATTTTTCAGGAATATATGTACCCATTATCTGTATCCATTATTTGCATAAAAGATCATCCTTTATTCAATCAATTTCTTGTCAGTCTTCAAACCTAATGTTGGAATTTTAACATTTAAAAACTTCTAGTTGCACTTCTTTTGCTTATTCACCAGTGTGCAGGTTCACTCTGTCTTTGGATAAGCTTTGTCTAATTCCTCTATGAAAAAGCAAGTTCATGTAGGTCTTCAGTTCACTATCTCCTCTTGCACTGTGTGTCAGAAAGATCCCCTTAATCCCTACAGCAAAACCTCCCTCTCAGTATACACATAGGCTCTGTAACAGAAGAAAAGTATATATATATTTTTTCCATATCATTAGAATTGATCTCGACCTCGGCCCGGCCGATGAGCAGAACCCTGTACGGTCTGTCTGAATGCAAAATTCATGTCTTATCTCGGAAAATGTGGCTCAGAGATTCCAGCCACCTCCCGGGCCTTATCATCAAAAAACACAAGTTTGCAGCAGCGTGAGGGGAAACGGTGCAGAAATTCAGAAATGGAACAGACTCTGAATGATTGGGCAAATAAAATAGGTAAAACCAGAAATGTAGTGTTGTACTACAAAGGTGGAGGAATAAGATGTTGATGAGCTGCAATGCGCAGGAAACTTGTTGAGTGACTGGTCTCTATTTCTCAGTGTGCCTGGCAGCCTGTGAAGCCATCAGTCACCCAATCTCTGAGCCTAGAAACAGCCCCGACTGCCTAAAACTGTGAGACCATTTCAGCTCCATCTCAGAGCATCGCAATCAACAGACTGAAACGGAGGTTTTATTCCTCTCCGCATCCACAGCCCACTGCTTCCTGTCGGCCTGCATATCTGCGCGCTGCAGACAACTGCTCATTAGATAATGCTAAACTGGCACTCCCAAGCATGAGGTTTGCTAAACACTGTGGTGATGGCTGACTTCATGCAGTTTGTGATGAAAGCGTTTGTACAATAGTCTGTTTTCCCCCATTATCCCGTGAGGGGCTAACAGGCGAGAGAGGCACCTCTTGGAACTGTTATTCACTTTGCAATACAGCAGCAATTTGAATGTTTGAATGCTGAGCTCATTCAGAGTAAAAGCGATTATACACCAGGTCAGATCCAACATATCTGATTTTATTTGCATAAATTTTATGTTTAAAATAGGGAAAAGCTCGGTTTGGTATAAGAGAAGCAAATGTTTCTGTTTAGAGCTTCACACACTCAGATCTTTCAGATAAAAGCACTGCATCCCACTGTAGGCTTAGACATTATCTTACATTTTACATTCTACAAACTGTTCATCACCTATACCTCTAATATTACTGTAAAAAAAATTACATGTTGTTTTCAGGATTCAGGCAGCTCATTTTATTTCATTTCTCTGTAGCTTTGGCACCACGTATGTTACCAATGTGATAAGCTGTAGCCACAAAACTACGCTTGTGTTTCCTCATGTGAATCATGTGCAGTATTTGTGAGTTTAGTCATGATTTACTCAGCCTGCAACTGTTTTTGTTTGTTCGTTTTCTCACCTTAACTTTAAAACTGTTTTCAGTATAAATGTTCACACCCAGAGATGGAAAACTATGTTTGCTTAACCCCTGAGCAAAAGTACAGCATTTTTGAAGTTGTACTGATAATAATTTGCCATTGCGTGTTATTTTATACTACTGCATTCAAAAGAAAATATTCCTTAACAAAATATATAACAGAGACTGAGATTAAAAGCACTCTTTAATAGAATTTCACCATATATTAAATCAGTATTCTCAGTAATCAGTCATAAGGCCTCTTACATGAAAGCAGTGTCTGCTTGCAACCACGTTACATTTTAATAATTTCATTTAAATGAATTTATAGCTTAAAAAGAAGAAAAAGAAGACCAAGAAAAGAGGAGGGGCGGGGTTAATATCCCAAATATGCGAAATTGTAATAACCGTAATAGCTTGAGGAAAAAGTCCAGTGTTATGTCTTGGGTTTTTGTGTTTTTTGTTTTTCCATCCCCGGGGCCTAATGAGACTGAATTGTGTTTTTTAATTTAAATAGGCGCCTTATCGTCTGTGAAACACTCTGGTCAATATTTGTTCTGAGCAGCCGACGGGGAGACGTTTGTCCACAGGGCATTTTAACGCCACCGTTTTAAACCCAGCCTTACTCTGAACCTAAACAGCCAGCTGCTCTTCCAGAAACTTAGCACTAAGATGACACCGGTGACGTCAGCTGGGGGTCAGTACAAAATCTTCTACATCATCTACAATGCTCGCTAATAATTATTGATAATCATTGATAACGTTGCAGCTGAAGATGATTTAAATTATACTAATAAAAAATACACATATTTTATTATCATTACTTCTTGTGCCATATAGGCCGCTTGGAGTAAAGACTGACTTTATCAGTGGGGCTGTTTTTTTCGCCTCCTGTTTGTGAGCTGAGACTGGGCTGCTTTGTACTTTGGCCCCGCCTGTCAGCTACGTCATTAATTCAGAGCCGTCTCACACCTGAGTTAAACTTTTGAGACAGTAGCCTACAGGACGCTACGGTGGTAAATCTAAATCGATTTGCTCTGAGTTACCGTGGAATAATTGGAAGCCTGTGGAGGCCGACATTTTTAGTTGAAGATGAAGCACGTTCCTATGTTTGTGGTAAGTCATGTTGTCTTTTTAAACATCTACAAAGCTTGCTGTGGTTTCACGGATCGGTGTTGTACCGGCGTCAGTCAGCGTGAAGTTTCTGTAAGCAGCTTCCTTGTGACTCATTTTTAAAAATGGAGATCCTTCAAAGTAATAAGAGTGCTTTTAATGTTTCGCGACAACCGCGGGGCGATTCTAATATTTATGTTAAGCTATTAACTTAATAAAAAGTTAATTATGTAAACTTTTAAGGGTTTTTTGTTGTTGTTTTGATTTGTTTATTGAGGACCGAAGTGACTAGAATTGTCAGGGGTTGTCGAACCAAAGTTTAGCCTCCCGTTGACTGTAAATAAAAAGGAGAGACCTCTGGCAATTTTCCGGTTTACTGGTTTGCGCAAGATGTCGCATTTATGTGTCGAAAGTGTCACAAGGCGCTGTGTGAACTCAGGTGTGAAATTCCTCGTGGGCTCACCAAAAAGTCACTTTATTTCTGTTTCCCCACCTGAGACACTGCACTGAAACTAGTCGACAGTTTGTGGTTGACTGTCATCGGCGACTGATCACTGAATAAAAAGAATACACGTTACTCCACAGCGCGTGTTTTCCTGTGTACCGGGCGCTATGTTGCGCTTAACTTTAAGAGCGTGTGCATTTTAATTGTCTTTAATTTTCGCAAAGATCCTATTGGTAAACTCCGGATAAAAATGGCCTGGCCTTATTGTTTGAGCCTTTTGTATAGCTTTCGGCTTGATTTTGAGCTGCCTAAAAGTTTTATTTTTATTCAATATTTTCTAATATGTTTGATTATGTGCATAAAGCGAGGGAAATGATGGTTTGCATTACGTCAGAGATCACTTCCATCGACAAAGTGCTACTTTAGAGTCGGACACCCAGTAGAAACAGGTATTGGAAATATAAACTTTTTCTTAAAAAAAATTAAACTCTTCTGTATGTCTTTGTGTATAAACAAGGTCTCTTTAGGGTTTTTTTCCTTTCCAAAGTACTATTAAATATGCTTAAGCACGCCATTTCTACTTTCCAGTGAAGGCAGGGGGATTAAAATTCTTATAACTGGTACTTTCACACACAGGTGAGTGTTTGTCTGTCTCTCCATGCCTCCTGGGAGATGCCCTCACAGTAACTAGGGCACCTGATGGTGTTGCGAAATCATGGGTGTGATTTCCTTATTTGGTTATTCCTGCAACCTATCAAAGTGTTGGCCATATTAGGACACACTGTTTGTGGATCACGTTTCCTGTTATTTAAAACCTGTTGCTCAATATTAAGAAGTTCATAAATCAGCTCGGATACTTTGGTACACTTTCTTAATACTGAATCCACCAGGCTTAGTCCAAGGAGTGTTGGAAGGAAATCCCCTTCTCCCCCACCCACCTGTGCAGCACTGACTTGTTTATTTGCTTTCAGAGTGAAGTGGCGTGTTCTTAAATGTGACCTAATCTGACTCACATCATCATACAAGAAAGCTTCCAAAGAATAATGGCTTATATACTTATGTTTGTAGTGAAAATGTTTTCAGTTAGCCAAAACATATAATCAGAGATTATGTTTCTGTAAAACCCATAAAATGAGTTCTTTAATATAATCAATTTGAAATCTCTTAAGTCAAAACATGGAAAAAGATGAAAGCGGTGCACTTCATATTTTTACTTAAGGTAGTTTCATGACTATAACGAAGCAGGTTTTTGCCAGTTTCCCATTCTTGTCTGATCATAACTAGTTTTGGTACCTTAATGTAACTAAACATCACCCCACCTGCCTGTTTAGGGACTCTTTAAAATAAACCTGTTTATTCACCACTCTGACTTCCATTTATTTGTTTTTTGTTTTTTTTTTAAACCCCGCATCCAAATCCAAAGATTTCTGTGCCTGTCCTGGTCCTTCTTCTCAAATCCACCACAGCATACCCACAGGCTGGTCTTAAAGTGGGAAACGGCAGAGCACGGCGGCAGGCCAACTGCCCGGCAGATCAGTACGAACACGGCAACCTCTGTTGTTTGAATTGTAAAGCTGGTAAGTCTCATGAAACTGAACTTCTGTAGTAATTTCAAACCAGTAAGCCATCAAAAGCCACATGAAATGGCCTTATTATTTAGGTAGAGTCACATGTTCAGTTGAAGGAGACTTATAAAGTGTGTGTGTGTGTGTGTGCTCTAGGCACATATGTGAAATCACCCTGCAGTGTAGATGGAGAGAGGGGGCAGTGTGAGGAGTGTGACTACGATACATACATGAAGCATGACAACCGACTGAAGTTCTGCCTGAAGTGCACACGGTGTCGCCCAGGTAATTCTGCTTGACGGCTTTATACCATCGATCAGAATGAAAAGGTTCACTATTGATTGTTCTTGTAGTCGGCGTGCTCAGAGCATAAACTCTGACTAAACAAGGTCTCTTTCATGTTACTCTCTCAGATGAGGAAATTGTAAGCTCATGCACTCACACTGAAGACACTAAATGTCAGTGCAAGCCAGGGAGATTTTGTGATCCTAACCAAGCATGTGAGGTGTGCTTGAAGTGTTCACGGTAAGTGTCTGCAAATTATTCAAAATCAGTAAAGACACAAGTATAAGGAGGGAGTGGATATAGTGGGTGTTGAATGTGAAGCTGCCAGGCAGGAGAAGAAGAGGAAGAGGGTTGGTGTTACAGAAGACGATGCTAGATGCAGATTGTCCACTCTGGTGACTCCTAAAGGGAGCAGCGGGAAGAAGACTGACATTTAGGTCTTTAAACCTTTCGATTTATTTTGCTTCTCTCCTAACTAGGTGTGCAGAGGATGAAGAGAAAGTGAGAAACTGCACATCAACCACCAACACGGAGTGCAAGAAGATCCAGAACAAATCTGGCTCTGATCCAGGTACACTACTCTGGCAGATGCATGCAAGACTTTTTGTTACACTGGGATAAATGTATATTTACAAAGTCAGATTTTCCAGGCCAGAAACAAATGATATCAGAGATTCACTCGCACTGTACATTGATTCAAGCCATGAATCTCTTGGGGGGGGTGGTGTCTGTAAATGGCCAATGACTGTCTCTTATGTTTTTTGTTTTGTTTTTCTTAAACAGGTATCACTGTGGTGGTGGTTGTGGTGGTGCTGTTTGTCCTCGCTGCCATAACATTTGCTGGGATATTTTTCTACAAGAGGAGACGTAAAATGGGTACGTTGTTCTTATACAGATGTTGGATCCTAATAGTAAAATCACCTTGATGCAAAAGTTTTAGTGCTCTGATAGGCTGTCGACCTGTTCATCGAGTCCTTCACATTTTGTCTGTGTTAGCTGGGGAGGATGGATAGTTTTCGCATTATAATGGGGTAAACAAACTTAAATGATAAAGATACACATGCCACAGTTTGTATCTTTTGTAGTAGGGTTAGTACTTCTGTGACTGGAGCTAATGCTTCTGCTGCTCGTCTGAACGTGTGGCAACTAAACAGTTGTTTTATGTTCTGGTGGCCACTGCAGCTGGCCGTGTCCACTCAAGAAAATGCTTTTGACCAGCTGTATCAGAAGTATTATCTGCTCAGCATTGCCGAAGTGAAGGCCTGATGATTTTTAAGCTGTCCAGAACAGTATAGACATCAATTTTACAAATGCCCCAATGTAAACTAAATGCTCCACCTCCACATTCCTGGTGTCACAGAAGTCACCAATCCGGCCAGGTGTGGTCTTGGGGCATGACGCAGAGAAGCAAATCATCAAAATGTAGGGGTGGGTTGTTGTGTTTTGGGTTTTTTTGTTTTTGTGTGTGTGTGTGTGTGTGTGTGTGTGTGTGTGTGTGTGTTTGTTTTTTTGCTTGAAAAATATTCATTTCAACCTATTGTCTAGATGGTTCCTGATCACTCTTAAACAAATTCACTTGTTATTTCAGCTCTGATCGCTGTCAGCAGGAGCAGTGTTGTAGGGTCCAAGCACTTAAAGCAGATGCTCGAACTGTTTAAAATTTTGGTCTTGTGTGTGTAGTGATACAACTTTGCAGTGTTATTGCTCTGACTGGTGTCAATGCTGTGGGAAGGACTTGTACTTTTTCTTCACACCACAAACAGATGAACTGCTGATATTAAATTGATGCTGCCACGATATTTTCATGCACTTGTTGAGGCCTGGCTCTCATTAACACAGATCTTGAGCCCGCTGGCCTCTGCAATCAGTCTGACCCATAAGCATACGCTAATAAATGCTGAGACACACCTGCTGCAACCGAATGACTGAAAATAAAGTTCCACTCAACATTTCTGGATTCCCTCTGAGCTTCACAGCATTGTTTTGAGAACCCTGTTAGTAAAGTCTTATCAGTGAAGCATTTTCCCACAATGCTGACCGTGTGCCATCTTTGAGAGCAAGATAAGAGCTTCTCACAGGATGGGATATTTTGACTGCACAAGGCCAAACTCTCCTGTAATCAGACTGTTTAGAGCAGATGAGAGATTTTCAAATGGCACATGAAATGAGTAAAACATGGTAAGAAAATTAACAGTTCTGGATAATTGTGGGACTGTTCATCACATGTGGAACAGTGTTGAAAGACTGAAAAGCTATTAAGTATAAGTTGAAACATCAGACGGCGTGATAGAGGATATACATGTGTGCAGAAACATGTTACAATGGACGTGCAGTTTCAGGTGTGGTGATCTAAGAGCAGCAGATGAGCTGCTAACACAACATGCTGACTATGTTGGGATCAGGTGTAACTGATTAAAGCCTAATTATCAAGTACGCCCTCTCAGCAAACATGTTAACCGCAGTCTGTTGGGGTGTATATCATTACCATGCAGGCCTCGCATAGAGGTGGGCTGCTGTTGGCGAGTTCACTCAAGTACTTTTCCAATTGGACTGAGCCATGTGAAGATGCTTTTCCCAGTTTGTGCTGTTGACCATGCTGCTGGTAAACTGGGCTGGGTCCAACACAAACTGGAACTGCTGGGCAGGCTTTTCAGCCGACTGATGAAAATCCTCAGTGACACACAGTGTCCATTAGAGGCTGCACACTGCTAGAATTGATGCAGAGCAGCAGCAGGTTCTGCTCAGTTGATGAAATTTGAGCTCAGACAAAAATTAAATAACTTTGTGTTGGAAAGTTGTGAATTCTTGGAAGTTGCATAATTCTCTTCACATTCTTTCCTCAGGCTCTCAGAGAAATCGGTCTGGCAGGAGCAAAGCAGAACAGGTGAGTGACTCATGTTTTCCATTAATGTACAAAAATAGCCAAACATGGCGATGAGCTGAATGGAAATGGCTTTCCCAAGGTAACTTAAATGACAGAGACTCTCTTAACATGTTCTTCAGCAATACACTGCCATCCAGACTCCTGAGGATAAGGACACTCAAAGACCAACCAGCACAAATCTAATCCTGTCCCAGCATCTGGTGAGAGTTCAATCTTCCAACATTGCTGAGGATGAGCGTCAATTTCTCAATCCAAGCTTCAACAGCTCAGCCAGTAACTCCCAGCACAGCCTAACAGACGCGCTCACACCTGCCCCTCAAGCCAGCCCTGTGGTCTCAGCGCAGCTTCACAGGAGGGTGAGAGCTGCAGCTCATCTCATCGCCTGCTTCATCCTTGCTTCTTGTCTTGTTTGCTGCTATTAACTAATGCTCTGCTGCTCTAACAGCCTCCGCTGTCTTACTGTCTGTCCTCATGTTCCAGTTTACCCACTTTGATTTTCATGCTACACACGACTCCTTACATGACAGAAAGAGCCTCAGAATCCTACCTGCTCCCAGTTGCAGAGGGACAGGTCTGCAGTCATGGATAAACCTCAGTGACTTGCTTCTTCCGTACTGCACTCCAGTATGTTGGAGCAAATTCTCTCAACAATCAGGAGCCGTATAAGAATCCTCTGACTCTCGGTTTAAGAATTACCTTTAACATTTGATCTTCAGTGTCTCAGGCTGCTGTTATTGTGTTAGTGGAAACTTAATGAGTCACCTGGTCCTTAAAACACCTGAAGATTAACAGGGAATGCTCCTTATCAGTCTCGCTATCTCGTGTCTCCTTTCATTTTCCATCCGCACTGACAGGAAAATGCATCACTGTATTGTGTAAGGTGTTTTAGATAAATGCTTTTCCTTTCATTTCATTCACCTGCTTATAAATAAGACATGCTTTTGATTTAGCAGGTCTTACAATTTCTGACTTTTTATATGTTAATGCCTGTTTGCTTTTGTTTCATTTAGGAAGAGGTGCCACTTCCCAAGCTTGTTCCTGTGAATGGTAAAGTATTTTGACTTTTATTCCTGATCTCACCCACTGCATAACACACAAGCACCTGCTGTTAAACACAACATTAGATAAAGCTTCCATTTCATGCCACCGCGCTGCTTTTAATTGCAGTCCAGTTGGCTGTCAAAATGTTTATCAGTGTTTATCAATGTTATCAGCACAAGGCGTTAATGTGATGGAGTGAAGGTTGTTGTTTGTTTTTTGCAGGTGAAGAGTCTCTCAGGAAGTGCTTTGAATATTTTGAAGAACTAGATGTGAACTATCAGAAGAGGTTTTTCCGTCAGCTTGAAATTAGTGACAATGTCATCAAAAGCAAAGAGAACCTTCCCTATGAAGACAGGATCCATGAACTGCTGCATATTTGGGTGGAGAAAGAAGGTAAAGGAGCGAGCTTAAATGACCTGCTGCAGGCTTTGAATATCCTGAACCAAAGGCGAACTGCTGAGACGATCCACCAGAAGGCTGTGGACGGCGGTCACTTCCTGCTTTTGTAGGGGGGGGGACTTTGTAATTGTCTCAAACTAGTAGTGGTCAGAATAGGAACAAAACAAACTTGGACACCTCAAAGTGTGTATGTTGTTGAAGCTGCTGCTGTTTCAGTAAGCACATCTTACTAGACTGTAGCGTGAGCTCTTGAGGTAAACATGCCTGCTTGAACTAACTTATTCCAAACTGACGGAATTCAGTCGTTTTTCTTATCTGACTGTGAGCCATGTATTCCTGTCAGCTCCATAGTGTTAAGTATTTCATTAATGCCTGTAATAAAAAATGAAAAAATATATATATATTTATTATTATTATTATTTTTTTTTTTTGGCTGATCCCAAACCTCATTAAAGCTTGTTTCAGCGAAAGTTATGTTCAGACATTTATTGTAATCTAACAGTGTCCTGAAGAGTCGATGTATGTTTCAGTTTGGTTCTGTAACTACTCCTTAGCAATTCAACAGACTGTCAAATGACCAATGGAGTTAATGAATGTATGTAAGTTATTACAGTGGAGGGTATTTTATTAAATTTAAAGAGTGCTTCCTTGACTGTATTATTTACCTGTTGATCCAGTGTTGTCGTGATTGTGGTTAACAGAAGCACAAATTTTAATATATTAAGATCTTGTTTCTGTTGTACTTCTGTTTTGTTACATTTCCTTCTATAATCTTGATCATCATCATGGATGTTTACAAAACCTAGTTTTCTACAATGCTCTGTTTATGTGCTGCACTGAAACATTGAGTCTTGCCAGAGCTGTGTTGAAGCCTGAAAGTGAAGTGAGAATTGTGTACTTTTCTACCTTGTTATAGATGTGCTCTACAGTGTTTGTTACTACTTCCAAACTTGCTTTTTTTTTTTTTTTTTTTTTTAAAAATTGTTTTGTTTCTAATTTATAAATCTGGGTGAATTAAACTCATTCATTCATATTTCTACTTTTGTTGTATTTCTCCTTATGATTGACTTCAAGATCACTTGATTATATTTTTTTGTCTTAGTCATACCGGACATGTCCTGTATTATATGCCTGGGCTCTGCATATTTGCATATCTAGATTCACTTGCAGTCATCCTAATTGCTAGGGTAACATTGGTTATCAGTGATAACCCAGGGTTTTCAATACATGTAAAGGGGTGGTATTGGCAGCGTTCAGCAATGACAAATACAGATGAATGTACTTCACAAAGGATGGTAAAACTATAATACAAACATAAGAGGTTACACATGATTGCAGAATGACAGCAACACAGTTGCTACAGACAAGACGTCACTCTGTGTGACAGGAAAATCCCTGGATAAATGTGGTCTTGCTTTAATTCTTCGGCCTGAAGTTGTCAGTGGAACTCGAGTCTTTTCTTCATTTCCTCATTGGCTTTGGCTACAGACTGGTCAGCAAGCACAGCTCACTGAGGCGAGGTGCATTCTCTGACTGGTTTGTGAGTGGTTGGTGGTTGCCCAGCACAGAAAATGTCCATTACATGGAAGACATGGAAGTCTGCTGCTTCGAGAGCAGTAGGGAAACTGAAAAGTATGATGAAAATTGGAAAACGAGACCATTCATCTTCAAAGTAAAGGTTGAAAGGTGTTTGGTGCTGTAGCAAGGCACAAGTTTTACTTTGAAGGCATACATTCACGACGACTACCAGCAACTATTCAGAAAACATCAGTGTGTCTAGGCCTGTATGACATTGCTGTTTGTCTAAAAGCACCTCTGTTCACTACTGTGCACTTGTGGCAACCTACAATATGTAAACGTGACGTATTAGCTACACACGCAGCATCCTGCTACATGTGTAGTGGCTGAGACGTTAGCACTTACTGAAAATAATTGTCGAAGGTGGAAGCTTCTTTACAGAAAGTACTGAAGCTAAATTGGCCAACATAAGCTCTACATCCAGGCATTAATCTGCTCTCTGGAGCTACTCCGACTTGTCTTCGCTTGCCAGTCTTGTCAGCAGTGTACTGCCTCATTTTTCCTTCATTCTCTATTCAGCAAGTTGAGCAGCATGCTGTGCTGCTGCTCATTTACTCTCCAGACAAGTGTCTTTTTCTTACATTGCCATTATGAATGTTGACTCTGTCCGTCAGTTCTGATACAAGGCCTGTGGTGTGTCCTGCGTACTCAAAGCTGGAGCTTTAATAGAGTTGTCACAGAAACATTGAGCTGAATGATACTTCTGCTGTAACTAATCAGCTCTGTGACTCACATGCATCAAACTAATGCCTGCTGAGAACATTATTAAGCATTCTGTTGTAGTTATCTGGTGTACCAGTCAGACTAGGTGATTTCGAGGCATGTATAAAGATCTGACAGCTCAGTGGCCATATTCTACTTGGTTACATCAAATAGAAATGAGTTTGACTTTGAAAAATCAGTCTGTTGCTGGAGCACAACTCTGCAGCTCCAGTACAAAGTATTTTTCAAGCTGTAAAAGAATCTCTTTATATGCATATCCTTCAAGCTTTGCATTGTAGCAATCTTTGGAAACAGTTTCATTCCAGTGCCACAGTGAAGCAAAACACAGCCTTCTGTTCCCTGTAGGCATGGAATCAGAACCTAAAATTCCAGCCAGTGAACCGCAATCTAAGAAATCTCTAAACATTTCACACCAGCTTCAAACAGATATGCCATCCAGGCAAAAGCAATAAGAAATTCAAAAAACAAAATTTGGCACACACAACACTGAGACAAGAAAATCCCCAAAGGCGACATAATGGGATTCATGATATCAGAAAATGGTGCAACAAGTAGAACAGCTCATCTGCTCAAGTGTAACCACCTCTCAGTTTCATTCATGAGGAGATCCATTTGAGCCAGTTGTTTGATATTTAAACGCTGGAGTCCTACCAGGCAGCTCTCTAACAGTAACAAATGTTAAAAACCAAGAGGTTTGAATCAGACCCCCACTGCTACACACTGTCCACATTTCTTGAGGGCAAGAAATGAAGTGGTGTGAAGGCAGGACATTTCAGTACCCACTCTTTCACCACAGAGCCTCTGCTGCTGTCATAGATGCAGTATATGGTTTAGCATTTTGGACTGAGTGCTGATAACAAGCTGGATGCTCTTTATTCTGAAGGATGTGGTGTCCATGTTTTCTAAAAAGAATTTAAAATGTCACATTTTTCACTTTGCCTCAGTCTGTTTTAAACGATCCTTACCCCAGAGAAGGCGGCTTGAAGACAAAGCTTTAACTTGCATTTGTGGATGGCACAGTGACCCGTTTTCACTGACAGTAATTTCTGGAAGTGTTCATGAGGCCATGCAGCGACTTCCATGAAAGAATCACACCCTTTTTAAGAAGGTGTCGTCTGAGGACCTGAAAGTCACAAGCATCCAATGTGGATTTTCATCCTTTTCTCTTACGCCCCGAGATTTCTCCAGATTCTCAGAATGCATTGATGATATGCTGCATTGTAGAAGATTAGATAAGTTTTCACAATTTTACATTTAGAAACGTTATTTTGAAATTGCTGAGAAGCTGCCTCTCTAAGATGTGCTTTTTATATGAAATAATATTACTGAGTTGTTTCCAAATAACAGAATTACTACACCATGCCATATTAGTTGCGAGATGTTTCTTTTTAGGACCACTTGGTCCTTACTTTTTTGTGTTGCTTCCATCATATTCAAAATGTGTGATGTCAGGTCCATCTGTGGTGCGAAATCCATACACGGTTGTCAAGATATTTGGTGGAATAGCTTACCAGTACATATATTCAGCTGAGCCATGACACATTGTGTGCTACTCACTGTCTTCACTTTCTGAAATAAAAGCAGCTGATAGTGTTCAGCCTGAGGCTTTAATGAGAAGCCTGGTGCTTGCTGGGGATAATTTCACAGAGCTGTCTTGTTCCACGTCAGAGATCCTTTAAATTGTTTGGTGTATCCTTGAAAACCTGCAGCTCTGGCACTCACCAGTATTGTGACCAAAATAAAATGCTGGTGATTCATCTCCGAAAGACATTTCAAAAGCACTACCAGAGACTTTCTGGTATTATAAACTAATAGATTTGCACAAGTGACCAATTTAAGTGTTTGCCCAGAAACTAAAGCAGAGTCTGCAAATGCACTGGTTCCTATTTAGAGCTTTTCTGCTATATCAGAGCACTCTACACAACTTGTACATTCACACAAGTACTATAAGCGCTTCCTATCTAACATTTGATGGCTGTATCAGAGAGCATCCATCGGATAGCATCTTGCCCAAGGATATTTGGCATGCAGACAGGCGTAGGTGACCTCCTCTACCACCTGAGCTACAGCCACTCCATTGGGTCACTACACACTGCAATGAAATAAATGCAATTTAAAATGCTTTCTTTAAAAGCTGACTGTGAGAAACCGTCTGTACATTTTAACAGAAGTGCTTAAAACACTTTCTTTAAAGGAATATTCAGATTCCTGTGACATTTGTTGTGCATTTGTCCATTAAATTAAAGCAAGTGTACATATTTATTATGTTTACAAGTTCCCCAGTATCATATTTTGTTGTTATGGTGCCCATTTTAAAGGAACAAGTCATGAAAATGTGAAAAAAAAGTCCTCATTATGTTTTTTCCACATTCATGGTTTTATGTTCTGACAATTTTGATCTCAGAGAAGCTTTTGCCTCCACCACAGTACAGCTGAGATAAATGGGATTCATTTTGGCATTTACATTAATACCCAAGCTTAAGACCTGGACATGCAACTCTGAGAACTCAGAGTAGGAACATCTGTGTAGAACTTGAGTGTAGGAGAGTTAGAATCTGAGAATGTGTTGAGAATACTGACTGCTGTCATTTTTAACAAAATCCCTTTCTAGCAATGAAAACTGAAATCTGTAGCACTTTGAGCAACAAACTTAATAGTTAAAACCAAGTAAGCAGCTTTTGTTTCCTCCAGAACAGATCAAATGACTATGAGTAATGTAAAGGGAGCACCCAGCAGCTTTCTGAGAATAACTTTTGAACAGATTTGACCGTGTTTTATGGTTTGACAGCTCTTTCAGTTAACGCATTGGCATTGTGGTAGCTTGTTTTCT